CAACTGACATCAGAAAACTGAAAAGGTATTTTGTAACACAACATTTACTGATCCTGGTAAGATATAGTTCAAAATAAGTTTTCACAGCTAATCACAAGATCTCCTTTATCTAAACATCCCGTCTTATTTCAAGAAATCTAACCAAGCAAATGTTCACTTGTTCTATTGGCAGATGTTTTTACTTATTACAAGCGAAAACACCTTGTTTTCATTATTCTTTTACTTGATTTTGGAGCAGCATTTTTTCCAGTGTATAAATTAAATTAAGTAGCAAAACATGTGCATCAAAGTTTCTCAAACTCAAGAGGGGTGTCGTAATGTTGCATTTTGTCAGTCTAAAACCCAAAGCTAGTGACTTGAATATGATATGAAACAGAGAAACAAAGTCAATCTCCATATTTGAGAGGCTGAAAACTGCATTTTCTGCTTTTTTTCATGAAAAACTCATTTAATGATTAGTCAGTTAACAAAAGGGTTGGTCATTTTTGCAGCTTGATTATAAAAAAAACTAAAACAGTTATTCTTGTGCAATACTTAATAGCTTGAGAAGTTCTTTGATTGATCTTGGAGTTACATTTAAAAAGATGGAGAGAAGAGTTCTTCAGAATTTCACAAAGTCTTTCAAATTGGTTTTGTCCAAACCCAAAAACTTTAATATGAATTGAAACAGAGAAACAAAGTAAACCTCCATATTTGAGAGGCTGAAAAAAACTGCATTTTCTGCTTTTTTTCATGATAAATTCCTTAAAGTATCCCAAACTAACTGAAAGTAATCAGTTACTATTATCTTACAATACTCAGATTAGGCTACTGTTTAACACGTAACTCGTTATTGTAACAGAATAGATATTTAAAATGACCCTCCGAGCCAAATAGATGAATGAACACAATATTTAGGAGTCCATTGTGGTGGTTTAAAGAGCATCACAGGACACATGCAGCGGAGGTGACTGCAGTATTTAGACCTGTCCCACATTGCGAGGATAAATACTCTGCACCTCCTGCTCTGTTTAACAGCCCCAAACTCCTGGGAGCAGCTGTGAGCCTGTTCAATTTAGGCCAGACAGATGGAGACAGTGTTTGTGGTGATTACATTAACATATCCAGCCCCAAAGAGGAGAGGGAGGAGGAGACAAAGGACCTCGGACAAAAGCTGGGAGCTCACAGATTTTTCTCATTACCTCCTCTCATCTTTCTCTCCCTCTCTCCCTCTCTCACTGTGGTTTTTCTGTTCTGTTGTCACCTCACCATTCCTCACTCTCCCCCCTTTCTCTCTAAGGGCTGCTAAAGATGGCTGCAGGCTGAGGGAGAGCAGCCATGTGTCGGAGAACAGCTGATAACAGGTGAGGGAGCAGAAGGTGAGAGGCAGGAAGCTCCCCTGACACAACAATACATCTGAACACCACCAACAACACGCACACGCACACGCACACACACACACACACACACACACACACACACACACACACACACACACACACACACACACACACACACACACGTAACAAGACAACACCTGCTAGCATTGTTCATCAACAGCTCTTATACTCTTACATGAATTTAACTATTGGATCTGGTGAATTTTAGAATTGAGTTTCCTACATTTGAAAAGGTGAACATGTGCTTGTGTTGCCTCTGGAGAAAATGTCTTGAAGAGGACGTATTCTGCTCATTTTCAGGTGTTTATTAGTATAGTGTCTCTACTGTGACATGTTTCCATGCTTTAATGTTCAAAAAGCAATTTTTTTAGACAAACCTCATGATACACAAATGCTCTATTCACGTTGTCAATTCCAGGATCTACTCCAGTACGCCGTGAGCTAATAAAGGCATTGTGGCAAGTTATTTTGTATTTTTAAATATCAATATATAGGTCTTAAATAGATTCAGAATCTGAGAACACATTACATTTCATTTGGCTGACGCTTTTATCCAAAGCGACTTACAATGACCAATTACAGGGACATTCTCCCTGGAGTAACTAAGGGCTAAGTGCCTTACTCAAGGGCACACTAGTGGTGATGTTCAAGGCGGGATTTAAACTCACAACCTTCCGATCTTCAGCCCACCTCACTATCCATTAGACCACCACTAACACCAACAGCTTACTTTGGATTATAGTGTTGGACAGCTAAAATGCAAGCGTTAAAACAGCCATTTTCCAGTCTTACATAAAATGCTGCAATTACACTTTTTACTGAAGTTAAAAAGTACAGAAAGAGTTCTGATCTCCACACGTTGGCTCTCAGTGTTTACTCTGTAATAACGTCTGCGACACCCCCACCTGGAGCAATCACACAGCAGAGTGAGTGTGTGTGAGGAGTGTGTGAGGAGTGTGTAGATCCAGAGCTGCACACTAATCATTAGCAGCAGCAGGAGGCTCTGCACACCGCCTCTCTGTACAGGTGGGGAGATGTTGGAGTAGCAAACTTTATGAAGTGAGGGCTAAACGAAAAGAAGTTGGAGTGTTTTGGTGTTTTAGAGTCGCTCACTGGTGTTGAAAGGGCTGCAGCTTGTTCTGTCCTTTCTATTCAACATGAGAGGAATTTTGAAGTATAATGCATGGATAAGGAAACGCTACAATAAGTTCTACCATCTCTGTACGGACGTTAAAAGGAATATTTCACCTGTAAATTAACCATCTGCATATCAATTAGTCACTGTCTCTACTTTAAAGAGTCCTCTCCTGCTGATGTTCAGGTGTATATCAGTATGTAGTGTCTCTACTTTAAAGAGTCCTCTCCTGCTGATGTTCAGGTGTATATCAGTATGTAGTGTCTCTACTTTAAAGAGTCCTCTCCTGCTGATGTTCAGGTGTATATCAGTATGTAGTGTCTCTACTTTAAAGAGTCCTCTCCTGCTGATGTTCAGGTGTATATCAGTATGTAGTGTCTCTACTTTAAAGAGTCCTCTCCTGCTGATGTCCAGGTGTATATCAGTATGTAGTGTCTCTACTTAAAGAGTCCTCTCCTGCAGATGTTCAGGTGTATATCAGTATGTAGTGTCTCTACTTAAAGAGTCCTCTCCTGCTGATGTTCAGGTGTATATCAGTATGTAGTGTCTCTACTTTAAAGAGTCCTCTCCTGCTGATGTTCAGGTGTATATCAGTATGTAGTGTCTCTACTTTAAAAGAGTACTCTCCTGCTGATGTTCAGGTGTATATCAGTATGTAGTGTCTCTACTTTAAAGAGTCCTCTCCTGATGATGTTCAGGTGTATATCAGTATGTAGTGTCTCTACTTTAAAGAGTCCTCTCCTGCTGATGTTCAGGTGTATATCAGTATGTAGTGTCTCTACTTTAAAGAGTCCTCTCCTGCTGATGTTCAGGTGTATATCAGTATGTAGTGTCTCTACTTTAAAGAGTCCTCTCCTGCTGATGTTCAGGTGTATATCAGTATGTAGTGTCTCTACTTTAAAGAGTCCTCTCCTGCTGATGTCCAGGTGTATATCAGTATGTAGTGTCTCTACTTTAAAGAGTCCTCTCCTGCTGATGTTCAGGTGTATATCAGTATGTAGTGTCTCTACTTTAAAGAGTCCTCTCCTCCTGATGTTCAGGTGTATATCAGTATGTAGTGTCTCTACTTTAAAGAGTCCTCTCCTGCTGATGTTCAGGTGTATATCAGTATGTAGTGTCTCTACTTTAAAGAGTCCTCTCCTGCTGATGTTCAGGTGTATATCAGTATGTAGTGTCTCTACTTTAAAGAGTCCTCTCCTGCTGATGTTCAGGTGTATATCAGTATGTAGTGTCTCTACTTTAAAGAGTCCTCTCCTGCTGATGTTCAGGTGTATATCAGTATGTAGTGTCTCTACTTTAAAGAGTCCTCTCCTGCTGATGTTCAGGTGTATATCAGTATGTAGTGTCTCTACTTTAAAGAGTCCTCTCCTGCTGATGTTCAGGTGTATATCAGTATGTAGTGTCTCTACTTTAAAGAGTCCTCTCCTGCTGATGTTCAGGTGTATATCAGTATGTAGTGTCTCTACTTTAAAGAGTTCTCTCCTGCTGATGTTCAGGTGTATATCAGTATGTAGTGTCTCTGACATGTCTCCATGCTTTAATGTTCAACAAGCTCTTTATTTTCTCATACCTGCCTGTGCTGGCAGCACTATTTTGCAACCCTCTGTCTGGAAACCAGAGCCCAGTCTGCTCTGATTAGTTAGCTTGCCGGCTCTGTTGTGATTGGTCAAACCGCTTAGAGATGTCCCCGCCCTTAGCCTATCACGTACAATTGGTTGGAGTGCTGTATAACGACTATATAAATGAAAACTTGCATTATACTACATTATACTGTTGTGTGGAGAGTTTGTAAACGGATGTTCTGATATACTTCTGCTTTGTTAAACTGTGCAAACGAATCAAAAGTGTTCAAGTTCCCCGCTCGCCATTGAGGCATGCAACAAAAACAATGTGTTCTTCGACAAATCAACAGCTGCCAGTGCCTCAAGTTTACAGCTAATTAGCCAAAACACAAAAACAAATATAGTTAAGGTACTAGCTACTGGATAAGTTAGCTCAAGGTTTAGCTAAGGCAATGTATCATGGGCATACAGGCTAATGCACTGTACTTAAGCGGAGACACTACAGGTGAATACAGTAACATTTATATCTAAGAACGTCATCACAATCGCCACATTGATATGCAAATTAGGCGTTTACTAGGCCTAATTAAAATGTGCTAATTTGCATGCATTTACCTTTTTGTTTTACATTTTTGTGATTGGACAACCACTTAGAGATGTCCCGCCCCTTAGCCTATCACATACAATGTCTTTGAGCGTTGAGTATGACTAGATACATGAGACTTGCATTATACTGCATTATACTGTTGTATACACATCATAATGTAGATAAAATCCCTCCTGTGCATACATGTGTAAATGATTCAGATTCAAGATTCAAGGCTATTATTGTCATTTGTCCTTAGCTACAGTGTAGTTATGAAAATGAAAATCTTAGGTCAAAATAGTGCAAGTAAATACAATAAAATAGATAAATGTACTCACACGTTGGTGGTGAAGATGCCGTAGATGAGGTCTTGCTCCGGCAGGTAGAAGGTGCTCTGCAGCTCGTTGTAGTAGAAAGGGATTTCCCCCGAGCGCGAGCAGTTGAGCCGGGCCTTCATGAAGGTGGTCCACGTGTCCTCCAGGAGGAACCGCCCGCCAATGTCGTTCTTACAGACTCGCGCCACTCGAGAATACACCGTCTTCCCACAGTCGTGCTCCACGGCGTTCTCCCGCAGGAAGAAGAAGGTGAAGAGGCCGATGTCGTAGGCCGAGATGAAGTGAGGCTCTGAGGGGAGGAAGGAGAAGAAGAGAGGAGGGGGAGGGAGGATTATTACATATGACTCTAGGGAAACAGGAATATTTGCAACACTTATCTTCTAGGTCAGGAGTGTCATAAACTTTTTTCACCGAGGGCCACATACAGAAAAATATACGATCGGCTGGGCCACTCCCTAGAGAGGTATATCGCCTCATAAGTTCAGTTATAAGTTAGCTAAATTAATCAAATGTAGGTAAATTATGCTTGATACTTGAAAATGCCTGAAGAACAAAACAACCTACATCACAGCTCTCCAGAAGGGTTTCATCTATTGTGTTAGCAGCTCATCCCATAAAACAGAAGCTTCAGATTGAATATAATAAAAGGAAATATGAAGGGTATATTTCAAGCTTGTTAAGTAAATAAGGTATTGGGGTTTTTTCTTATCAACTAAGATTTGCTAGAAGGTGTTTCCAACTTGAATTGACTGAATGTATTTGAAAATTGGTCTTATTAACACATGAATACTACTGTGTAATATATTTGTACATATATATTTAAGAAGTCCAATATAAGACAAGCACAAGTTTCATCTGTGGGCCGTATTACATTATACTTTTTTTAATTAGCTGAGGGCCGATTCAAAATGGTCCGTGGGCCGCATTTGGCCCCCGGGCCGTAGTTTGGACACCCCTGCCTTTGACATAACCAAATATATAACAACATAGAACCACAGACACACTGCTGATTGAAGGAATTCTTATTGTGTTGTCCAACAGTATGAGAGCCAGAATACTTGCGTCAAGTCCATCAAGAGTATGTGTGTCCGTCTAAAGAATAACAGAATCTCACAGGTTTTATACACTTCTTTTTAGACCCCATTTACACGGGAGCGCAAACGCAAACGGAGCGAATTCGATATCAAAAAAGTATTCCGTTCACACGCATTCGGCTCATTTAACGTGTCCGTTCACACGAGACCACTGGAAACGCTTTAGTACAAATGCCAGGCCTGTAAGTCGCGCTGTACTTCTGCCACAAAATACACCAAAAGCAGCGAAGAAGACCCCCCGAGCATGGTTGCCATGGTTGCTCTTCTGTTTATGCCCCGCGGTAGATTAGGCAAAATGTAGTTCATGTAATTCTCCATGTCCACTTGTTGCTGATGGTTGTGGTAGAGGAGCTGTAGATTTTGCACTAACATATGTAGCATGGTCAGTAGCAGTAGCACTAGCAGTAGCTACTGACAGTAGCTACTGCTAGTGCTACTGACCATGCTACAGCAGTGAGCAGCAGAGGCGGGGCTATGGCTTCATCGTTATCAGGAAATGATCGTATAGGACGTACACACTGAGCCATTTGACCCCCCAGAGCGTTCCGTTTGCAGATCTATCCACCTTGGGACCCGTTATCGTTTGCGGGGTCCGTTTCCGCTGTTCCGTTACAGCCTCGTGTGAACGAACGGGCTATACGCGAGAGAAAAGTAACGGATACAACCCGTTTCGTTCTCGTGTAAACACCGCCTTAGTTTACACAGCACTATACTTTTGGACCTTTTACAATCACATGTTACAAGACCATATGCTCAATAACACACTGCAGACAGACATATGCATATTCATGGTCTGTGCTTGTAATAATCCTCCACAAGGGGGGAGAATTATTACAAGTGACTCCAGGGAAATATTTGCAACACTTATCTCCTAGATGGTGTTGCTTTGACCCGTGCACTCGTTATTGATTGCAATACAAACTTTGAGAGTCTAGCGGTGCACTCCTGAGATGGCCTGGGAAAAAGAGCCTCAATGTCAAATGTGTAAATGAGAGGAGAGGCAGGAGGAGGAGGGAGAGAGGAAATAAAAAATGGTAACTAATAAATCCGCCTGATGGTAAATCCATGGCTCTATGTCTGTTTAACTGGATGTCCGTGCTGCGTTTATTGCCCTGGCAGACACAGGGAATGATTAATGGTCCTTCACGTGAAGCTGAATAACAGTTTGAACGAGATGTTACTGTCATCCTTTGTAAACACATGACTCATTACTGGATGCTTATGCATTGCCGTAAGCGTGCAGAGGGAGAGCTTCAACTTGTAAATCCAAATGAGACTAGAATCCAACACATGGAGGCGGGTTTAACATCTACTTTTCAGGAGGTTTCACTTAAAGGTTTCTGTAAAGGCTTAAAAGGATCAGGCGAACAAACTTCTTCTCATCACTTTTCCCTGCTTACCTTTTTGTTTTCTTATCACGCAGGTGCTTTGGGTTTTATGTGCAGACATAAAGTTGTTTTGTATACGAGATTTCTGCACCTCATTACAACCGAAGTGATTGGAGAAGCATTTAAACACCACATTTGGAAAACTCAAAGCAGCCTCTCTTTAAGAAACAGTGTCTTTGTGACTCTGGATAATCCACTTTCCATTAACAGTTTTTATTGGAGCTGTTTTCTCATCAAACAAGTCGTTTTTAATTATGATGTCAATGTGGGGAATTGGAGTGAACAGACCTTTGTAAATATTCTAAAA